AAAACACGGGGGTGCTTAACTTTTTCCAGGTGTATATGTAACAATATTAATGATTGCTTTTTTCCCAACTGAAATTTCTCAGTCCAATATATTTTGTTAACAAATAAGTTTCTCAATATCCAAATTTCATTATCCACTCAAATTTCTCTACCCAAGATTCCATATCTTAACTTAGTTTTTATATTGAAACTGAACTGCTTCATCAAACAAAGTTTTCTTATTCCCAGCTTAGTTTTTCTATTCAACGTGTTTTTTATTCTCTTAAATTTCTCAGTCAAAGACCTAGTTTCACTTTAAATATCACTTTCTTTAACTTATACTAACTTATGTTTTCTTAGCATCATAACCAACACAAATTTTTTAAACCATTCTAAGGTTATTTTTCTTTTCCAAACCAGGCATCACTATAATATTCAGGTTTCCTTATCCTAAAGCCATTTTTCTCTTAAATCAAACCCAACTTTCTCTATGATACTCCAGCTCTTGTATCTAACACGATATGTATATATATTTACACATCATAACTGAGCTTTACTGTGAAACCAAATTCACTGTCAAAACTAAGTTACTATAGTTGGCCTGCTTTTCATTTCTCTAGAATGAATTTCTTTATCTCACCAGTGTCTATATCAAATCACTGTTCTATATTCAACAAAAGCATTTCTTTTTAACCCTACTTTCTACAACTAACCTAAATAGTCGTATCCTACTGAAGTTCTTTATATCAAACCAGTATCTTTTCAACCCATCTTCTCCATGAAAATTGGTTTCTTTATCCACCATTGAATTTAAGAGTATGACAACAGTTTTCTAGCTCTTTTTATCACATGATAAAAATAGCAGACATGAACTTTATACTTTATCAATGAAAAATAAATCAGCTGAAGAATGTAGTTAACACTATTATTATACAAAAAAGTTTTTAATGCCTACTTGAATATATTATCGATCTATTCAATATTTATTAAATGACAAAATAATTTGCAATAAAAACCTGCAAGAATTCAGCAGATTTAATTTTATATTATTTATTCTTATTTCAAATTTCAAAAATGATTTCAGACTTTAGTGTCAATACATACACATTTACAAATTAAATGAACATAAGTTCCTAAAAACTCTCCATTATCATTAATATCACGATTTAGTTTAATTATAAAATTTTAAAAATGTTCACAATATCTCAGTTTATTTATGAATATTTACCTTAAGATATATTGAACTCTTCTAATGAAAACTAATGTATGTTTTTTGCTCCAAAGAAAAAAAAGAAGTGTACAAGTGTCACAAAATTTACATATATCCTGGTATACGTATCATATTTAACACAACCAACAATAATGCATACAATAGCTTCAACACATATTTTCAAGCAGAGATATAAAGATTATGTAAATATTTTACGTAACATGTTCATCATAGTACCCACTCCCCAAACCATGAACAAAAGAACAGAAGTAACTTGGATTACAATATGGAAAGAAAAAGCAGTAAAGGTTAACTCACTTATAGCTTGGCTTAAATATTAAGTACAAATTTTCATGTCTAATCGAAAACAATGTGTTATAATGAAAAAGTCTAGAACTTTGATATCATTTAGATGCCTCTTTCATTACATAATCATTAAATGTATTTACATGTATCTGTAAGAAGTTCTCTATAGTGCAAATACTTTTTATCCAAATCTGTGAAGTCTGTGAACTGACAAAAATACACAGAATCTGTAACTATATGATTTTAGTTTATGCTATAATATTTACAGGTTGAAAAAGCCACATGATTTGAGCATACCTGAATCAGACAGAAAATATTTCTAAACCAATAACATTTCAGTATTGTAGTTCTACAAATCTAATGATGATCTGAGCTACAAAAACCTAATTGTTGTAGTATAACTTTCTAAGATTTTGAAAATAGTGTATATTATATATTACCAATAAAAAACAAAAGTCAGGATTTTAACATAAAGTTTTAACAAGAAAAGTAAAAAACTTTTTTCTAACAGAATAGATTTGGGAGATAGTAAATTAAGAGCCTCAAGAAATTTGCAAAAAAATATCAGATCTTTTGTAGCACTGTAACGAAAGACAGATTTTGACCTTCAAAGGTTTGGAACACATTACTGAATGAAAGTTTGAACCTTCAATAGTATTAATTTACTGATAATGTAACTATGACTATTAGGTTATATTTTATTGAAAACTCTTTTATTTTACACGTAATTCAAATAAATCAAAATATTCACTATCATTTTAAAAATATATAATATAGAACAGCAATCGTGTTTTTATATTTTTATAAAAATGCATTTTGTTTATGTACACATATCTAACACTACAAGCAATACTCATATAGTTACAAGAGCACCCTATTGTGGCCAATTGAAAGGACTGCAGCTGACTTAACCAAAACAAATCTTTATATAACAGTCACTCTTCCAGGCAGGTTAACAGTCATACATCTAATATTAAAACAGCAGAATGGAAATAATAACACTAAAAGTTGAATTTAAAAATAAATTCAGACCAAAATGTTACAAAAACATATGTTATTATCAGTCTTTTTTTCATTTATTTTGCAACACTGTTGATTAAATAAACATATGCCTTAGGAATGGAGAGGGAGAGTGTACAGTTACACTGGTAGACCTTTTTCTACATCAAAATTATTAGTGTTAGTATATGTTTTATGCTTCATACTTATTCTGTTATAACACTTCTATTACATCATGTGCATTAGGTTTTCAGTATATTTTATTGAAGCAATGCCGCCCCTAAATGTACCCCTCTCCCCTCATCCTCCACCATGGTCTGCTCCAATGTACAGAAAAAGCTGTTACATATATTGTTTTGGTGTTGTGTGTTTTTAAAAAACAACTTTTGTTTAAGTAATAGGCATTATATGAATAAAAAGATCAAATTTTCCACCTAAGTGACATTTAATGTGTAATGAAAATTCAAACACTGATAAATGGTTTCCGTTCACAAGTAAACAAAAATCTGATGTTGCTTGAATGCAACCCTATGAACCTTTGAATGTTTAGGACTATCTTCAAATACATGGTTAGCAAATGAACGTCAAAGGTTCGAACCTTATAACACAGCCCTAATATTTAGTATCATCAAAGATAACAGAATATTTAAAATATTTGATGATGCAATTATGCTAAATATACGTACATCCAAAGTACATAATTAGATTGCATATAAAAATTTTCCCTTTGAACAACATACATGAGTTAAAACTAAAAATTACTGATCATTGAATGGCTAAGCCATTTTGGTTTGCCATCTTTTAACTGCTGTTTCAAATTCTTTTACAAAAAATATCACAAATAAAATAGCTGTTTGGTGTATAGAGATAATTAAGGAACATATAATAGGTATGTTGTCATAAGATTTTATATTTAAAAAATTTCTTTGTAGCTCAAAGTTCAACATTTGGCACACTAAGCTTTTCAAATAAAAACACTACAACATTAATTTCATCAGTAACACAAATGCAGTAATCTATAAATTACTATTTACTTTCTTACTTCATTCAAACATTCAAAATTTTATCAAAAACACTCACTCATATACAATGTTTTTTCGAAAAGCATTCATATTCTTATCATGCAACACACACATTTCTTAAAGTTACACAATTATAACTAACCACACCATGTTAAAGATTATGTTAGGTTGTTTCAAAACAAAAACAGTCTTGAGCTTACTACCTCCCAATGTACTTAGAAATTTTGCACCAAATAGATTACCATTTGAATGAAAATAAACCAGATGAGTGGAAAGAGCAAGCAAGCAAAAATAAACAGAAAGGAAAATGAAAAGTACGTGATGTTACAGGATAAAAAAACATGTTATGTTACAAATGAAAAAAGCCAAAGAGTGCTTGTAGGCATGTAGGTGAAGCATTTACAAATTCTTCAAATCTTGTCCTCTTATCATATTCTTGTTTCAATTTTTGTAATTACTTATTTAAACTTTGACTGTAAAACAAAACAAAAAATTTTAAGATCAAACACAATGTAAAGCCCAAAATATAAAATCTTCCTACCTAAACCAATAAACTTGGCAACATTACCATTAAACTCTATAAATGTATACCTAAAGGTTCAACACTTCAGTAAATTCATTTCACTCAATCTGCATTATTCTTAATTTTAAACTTTCCTAAATGATGAATAGAATATGTAGTATATAGTTTTATTCACTTACGGTAGAAAAATGTAGAAGAATATGTGTTTAGAAAGTGCATTTATAAGTGACTGATGTCACTTGAGACTCATGTAACATTTATAGTTACACTAAAAGCGATTTGTACTTTTATGAATAAAATCAAAGTCTTGTTGCTTTACTCACTTCATCACCAGCATCACTCATCTTTTCAGAGGTGAGACTGTCAAGAGATTCACGAGATCCATGCCTCAAGCTTTCTTTAGAAGAAGAACGTCTTTTTTCCTTAGGGACAGCAGTGAATTCTGTGCTGAGGTATTGGGTTGCTTTTCCTTGTTTTAGTGCATTAAAAGCCTGGAAATACGAAGATTTATTAGATAACTCTTGTCAAACAAAGAACCCAACACAATCCACGTATAGAGTATGCTTCTACATTTCAGCATGTGCTGGGAAAATAATGAACTGTAACACACATAAGTAAACTAAAAACTATGCATGCATTAAAATCAGACATCTATACATAAGCCACGATTCTATTTATTAAAGAACAAGGATTTAAAACGTATGTCAAACAACTTATGAAACAAACATGCTTTACTTCCAATACATACAGCACTAGGCCAAGAGTAAGGTAACAAAAGAACATGTTTGCAGCACATGCACTATCTGCGTCAACTATAATTTTAGACTTGACTTATTCTTTTCAACAAATTATCAAGTTCTTTGCTTTGAATATCCAATATAAATATCTAAAATTTGTGTTCACGTAATTTCACTAACAGTTGGCTTACTTTATTAAAAAAATTTTACTTTTCAAGCTCATATTTTAAGTTTCTAAAAAAACACTTCAAAGTGTTAAGAGTTCCTAAGAAAAATTCAGTTTATAATAACAAATAAATAATTTTATCACAGTAAAAAAATGACTAATATACACACACTCAATGGAAATATTATTTTTTTTATTCTGTAATTTTTTTAAGTTGTAAAACACTACAAAAAACTGCCCTGATCCTTTTTTAAATTTGTGTTACTTGTAGAAGTGTTTGTTTTTCAGGTAATTCTGCAGTTGGTACCTATTATACTTGTACGTTGAAAACAGAGAAAACAGTATGTTTTATTAAATGCCTTTATGTTCTTTTTCAACAAATGTTAATTGATATACATTTTGCTATTTTATACCTATAAACACAACCTGAGTTTTTCAAAATGGAAATTAATTTCATTCAAATCTTTTGCCTGTGATAATCAACTATTTTTAATCTTGAACATTTTGTTTATTACATCCTCTACATTCACACACACACATATATATATACATAAGCCCCTACCATACAAAATTGTAAAATACAGCAATAATTAAATTAAAAAAAACTCATGTTCTGTTCTTTTAAGATATCAAGTTCTGTTAAATTATGCAAAATATACTAAATTACAAAATTAAACTTCTTAGAAGATGAATCAAATATAAAATGAAATAGCCTTGATTGTAACATATTAATAACATATCTACAATTATTGTAGTATATACTACTTGTATACCAAATGACATACAATGACTGGTAAAAAAAAAAACATTTAGCTGCAACAGTAAAATATTTATGTTGCATTATTAAATGTTTGAATTCAATCTGTTGTATTCAATAAATTTATTCTTATTAGAATAGTGCCATGCATGAAGGAAATTTAGATCATGCAAGAGAGAACTTAAAAAATGATGTATCTTTTTAATCTTCTATCTCGGAAACATTTTAACCCAACATAAAATGTTTTATGACAATTTTTTTATGAGGTGGCCCAAAACAGTGATAAAATCACTTACAAAAATTAATTTTCCCAGTTTGTTTTAATTCTGTAATCAAGTATTGATTTTTGTTTGTAGTGACTAATTCATAGATAATAAATTCTCTTAAAATTGCAACAAAGACAATTTTTATGCTATTTCATCAGCCATTTGTAATGCTGGCATTCACTTCATTTTTCAGTATTAACCTTATTAATGGTTAAGTACCATGACAATTAAAAAAAAGTGACTGACTATTTATGTTTAAATTAATTTTAGGAATACTTCAAACAATAAAAGATCTCCCTTTCTGAAAGCCAACTACCCTCTTAAATTTAACAAAAATCCCAATTTGAAAGTATTACATATATTTCTTAGAGAAAGACTAAACCACTTTTCCTCTATCATTTTTACAAATGCTGTCAGATGAAAGCCTACAGCCTGTTTAAAAATATGTACTAATTGACAGTGTCTGGAAGCTGCTATGAACAGGTTGAAAAGTGTACTTGGCAACACTGAAAAAGGAGCAATAATTTGCATATATTTAAATGTAAACTTTTTGTTATCTAATAGTTTCTCAGTATAAGAATTACTGTTATCAAACAAGAACCATAGTAAGCAATAAAATGATGTGGTAATATGTGAATTTTGCAGTGCCAATTACTCACATACATGCATATAGGGGAAGTAAAAGAAAATCAATAACTACAAAACAAGATACACTGTAATGTTTGCAAAATGAAAATAAAAATTTGGTACATAAATAACATAATTTTTTTGGCCATTTAGAATTTTAAATAAAACTATTTTCAAAACATTTTCAAGGAATTTTGTTTTAAGTCACTTCTCTAAAACTACTAAAATCATTATAAAAAAATAGTGACCTCCTTTCTGGCCCGCAATGCACAATCTTCAAGAGTCTCTGCTGCTTCATATTTTCCTTGACGTCTGTACAAAGCTCCCAAGTTTTTCAATGTTGTGGCTACTGTTGGACTGTGGGTTGTAATGAAAAATTTTTAAAAAGATAAATAAACTTTTATTCCTTCATTTTTTCCCTAAATTGATCACCAAAAAACATGTCAAAATTTATCTTAGTTGATATAGTTGCAGTGAAACTCTTTCTAAATTTTACAACTAAATTCTCTTCAAGTTCTCTATAAATAAAGTTATTTTCAAACTACAGAAAAAAAATAATAATTAAATTTTGGACATTTCTTCAACAATGAAGAATAACACTTTTCTTCCATTTTTTCAGAATTCAAAATCTAGCACAACTATTTTAGAAATCTTAAGTCAATTTGTTTTCATACTTCAAGAACCACATACTAACGTACAATTCTGACACTGAAAACACTATACCAATTTATTATTTACTAGTTGCTATACCTTATTGAGTATATATACAAATATGAAGTATTCTTAAGTGCTTCAATAAACCAATATAACCCAATGTAATAAAATTGTAGGGTTAGAACAGGATTTTCACTCAAAAATAAAATTCCAAATTATTCTTCATGACTTTCAGTGTAAGTTTAAGTTGCATTGGAAGGGCTCTTGGATTTTGGCCAACCTGCATAAAACACTTATACAGATCAGAAGGAATGAAACATATGATTCAGACTTTTTACTTTTTTCTTGACAGAAAAAAAAAAGAACAAGCTGAAAGAAAGACTGATTGCTATGAGAATTGACAAACAAATCATATGGTCAGTCTTTCCTAAGAACAAATTCCCTGTACACAGATAGGAAAATATGTTAGTTTTGATTTTTTCCCATGGAATTTAGCTAATAAATTCTTTACTCTTGAGGTTTTAAAAATAAAGAAATGTTGAAATTAACTAGTGTTGTATTTTTACAGAGTACTGTGACAAATAGTTTAACAATTATTAACATAAGCTCTTCTGTTTGTTGTCTTTCTTGTGTTAGTGTATGTTAAAAACTACATATCAAAACTATTTTATGAGCTTTTCTTGTTTTCTATAAAAACTTTTCTTTCCTCTCAACATCCATCACTCAGTTCTTGTCATCCTCATCCTTTACCTGTACACTGCGAAATTGTGCATAAATGTAATAATTGAAGTTTTATCAAGTGTCAATTTTGATGACGAGGAACCCACTTTGAGACTAATAACGGTTGGAGAAGGCTTGAATGGGTAATGAATGACAAAACGTTGTACATTTGCTGTTGTGTTAAACTTATATTAAAGTTTTTCTTCATTACCCATTCAAGCCGTCTCCAACCATTACAAGTGCCAATTTACTCTTACTGTTTTACTGAGTAGCCAATGAGTTAGAAACAGTAACAAAAAATTCAATGGATGAATGCTATCTCTCATCTTCTATAATAAATTATATTCTGATATAGCCTTCTTCAAAGGCTGACACTTATTGCAAATCATTTTTAAGTCAATAAACAACTGAGAACAAAGCACTGTCATTCTGTTTTCAAATACTACTCATCATTACTTGACTTATTAGAAAATGATAACTTAATCAAAGTTCTAGCACAGCAGTTTGTGGCAGCAAAACATGACAGGAAACAGATTCTAAAAGTATTTCTATCACTTTTCTGAGACTACCAAGTATTTAGGCCTTCAACATTCTTCAGTGGTAAATTTACATAATAATCATAAATAATGCTATTAAACTCTACTTATTAATGCAATCTGTTTACTAATTAAGCATAATCCATTCATGCCCACACTTAAATCTGAAACAGATATAACCCTACTAACAGTCAGCACAGCATAGAAATACTACTAAGAGTAATAGAGGAAAAACTTAAATCTCTTCCCTATTTTCTGTTACATTACTTTTTTTGTCAATTCATTAAAACAGCTAAAGGAAAAGGTTTTCCCTGATATTTGTCAAACTTATTAATGGTTGTTTCCAAGAGCAATTCTTGCATCTTGAAATGATACTGTTCAAGACATCAGTGGTCAATTATTGCAAAAGGTTCCTTGACAAGAATTCACCTATAGCTCAGTTGTCGGTGTTCCAGTTACAGTCGAAGCTGTAAATTACCCAACTGAATTCCTAAATTTTCCTGAAACACCAGGAATGCCAGGTCACATTCTGAAATAATGTTGTTGAGAAATCTTGAACCTCCAAAATTATGTAATGGCACAAGTTTAGTTGTTAAAACTTTACTGCCACATGATATTAAAGCAACAATTACAACTGGTCATGCCAAAGGCTCCAATTCTCTCTCTTACAATTTGTTTTGCAATGTCAATTAATAAGGCATAAGGTCAAAGTTTAAAGGTTGCTGGATTGTTCCTAAAGCAGCTTTGCTTTTCACAGGGTCAATTCTATGTAGGATGTTCATGGGTTGGAATCTCATCAAAACCTGTTTATATTGTCAGAAGAAGAAACAACAGCCAATGTGATATATGAAGAAGCTTTAATTTAGATTGTGGAATTTTTGTTTTGAAAATCGAAGATTTAGATAAAAAATTAAAATGTTTTGAAAATTGAATTTTTTAAATAAATGTTCTTAAAAGTAATTTCATTGTGTTTTTAAATACCTATTTCAAGTAACCTGGACACTTGTGCAGGGAACGGGTAATTCAGCTCATAAATAAGTAAAAGACATAAATATAGACTTATTAGAAAACGTTACTTTCTTTACATTAAACACTATCTTAGTGACTTGCAAACATGGTACTGTATATAATGCTTCACAGGTTCTGACTGGCATCAAGTATAGTAAAAATTACAAAAACCTACTATTTTCAGATTGTGTAATTATGTTTTCCCTCCTATTTTTATCTTTAAAACACAATTCCTGTTTAAGTTAACATATGCTTGTGAACCTACTAATCTCATACTTAGCTATCAAACACATACCTGTCCACTTTTGCAGCCTTATGCCAGCCACCAAATTCAGCATACAGGGCATTGTCTTTGTCTTTGTTCTTGTTTTCCTCTCTTTCTTCAGCAACTTGCCAGATAGGTTTGTTATCCCCTGAAACAAAATAATTATGATCATCACACAAGTGCTTAGTGTTTAATACTGTGAATACAAACTTTAATGTGTCCATGTATGCAAAGAAAAAATTAATATACATTAAACTGAAGCATAAGCAAGTTGACGTACTCTATAATTAGAGATGTGAAACTATATAAGATGAGCATTTTTCTGCTAGGTAAAACTTGGTCTCTTTGTTCTGATAAAAAACTTATTTATGAAATAATAATTTTTATCATTAGTAAAAGAGAGTAACATATAACACACAATGTTACAGTTTGTGTTTTAGAGGCATGCTCCTGAATCATCTATAATGTGAAATGTTGAGTGTTGTATTAATTCTGTCGTTACTGTCTCAGTGGATTACACTGATCACATGACTCCAAAGTAACCATCAGAATTTCTGTACTGTAACGTTTAACATGTTTTGTGTATTTTCATGAATATTTTTCCAGTTTTAGTAAACATTAAAATTTTTTGTAGACAAAAAATCAGAATTCTTAATTAAGTACTTTTACTAAAAATTTGTCTGTGAAGTTATACAGTCAGTGTTGGCTGCTTTGAGTGCAAAGTGATTTTCATGTTAAAAATACTTTTGTCATCTGAATATTTTCAAATTTCATTTTCATGATCCTTAAAACCTCCTAAATAAAAAAAATTTGTTTTTCTGAAAAACTTTATATTTTATCTGTTATTCTCTCTATCTGAACTCTATATGAGGCCAGTCAATTTAACTGAGCTTGTAACCACCACAAAACTTTAAAGGTGGAAAAAGGCGAGAAGGTTAAAGAAGGAAAATAACAAATGTGATGTTATAAGTCATTTTTTACTCGAATTAAAGTGTTTATATTGTTATTTAGCTTTAATAATGTCAAAATAATCTCAACAACCCATCATAGTATTGTGTTTTGTAATAAACTAACCATTAATACTGCCAAATTCCTTTTCATGGGCTCTTGTCAAGACTTGCTTATAAAGTATTTCTGCTTCCTTGTATTTTCCTTGTTTTAGGAAAGCTGAGGCCTAACAAAAGAAAGACTTAACAGTTAAAAATGATTTAATCACCATAAATAACAAATTATGTTATCCTATCTATATCACACATACTTCTTTGTAATATAAAATTTGAAATGTACAACTAGAGAGCTTCCACATGCAACATATTAACACTAAACATTACAATAACCAAATATCACTTTTACCTTCACAGTGAAGTGACTCACCAGTTAGTCATTCCACTGATTGAATATTGTTAAAGGTTAATGTTGACCTTTATTTTCATTGATGAAACTAATAAATGAAATAACTGAATGTGAAAAAATGAAATTAAGGGGAAAAACCTAGCAATCATGAAGAATAAAGAAACTAATAGAATGCAGTCAAAAGATTAAAACCATAAGATACTTATATCAGTAAAACAAACAAAACATTAATCATTCAATGAGATAAAACTAAAGCATAATGGTATGTCACATAAATATTGGAAATGAAAAAAATAAAAAAAAACATTTAAACTGGACTTTCTAGTTTCAGTTTTCAATATCCTTTAGATGAGAATGCAACGTACAAGAAGAAAGAATTATTAAATATCTATAAATTTCTCTGAAAGTTACTCACAAAGATAGTTGGTTTGTCTTCCAAAATCAATCGGGTATCACATTTCTTATATTGAGATTTACATGTTTATGATCTTATGCATCACTAACTATCATGAATGTAACCACAAGTATGTCACACAAACTCAACTTGCCTTTATTTCTCTGCAATACTGTGCACGGTACAAAATCTAGAACTTCTGCCTTTCCCAAAACAGAAAATAAATATGGCTCAAATCAAACAGAATTTTAAAAGATAAAAAATACTCACAAGGTTGTTCTTTGTTTTTGCCACATTGGGATCGTCGGGACCAAGGGTATTTTCATAGATATCAAGTGCTCTTTGATAATACTTCTCTACTTCTTCATATTTTCCTTGATTTTGACAGAGTAAAGCTAAATTGTTTAGTTGTTTTGCCACATCAGGGTGATCTTTTCCTAAAACCTAAAACACAAGATTAAACCTTAATACCTTACTTTACAATGATATCATACAAAATATTTTAAAGAGGTTTAGAAATATAAAGAGTATTGGATATTTCCCTTCAAAACAACAACATTTATGATCTATTTAAAATCTCAGAAATTCCAAATTATGTCACTTCTTATTGTACTGTAACCATCAGCCTACCAATTCTTGAGCCATTAACCATCACATTTTATTCTAGTCCACTTTAATGAATATTATGACTGAATATAAAAACATTAAAGAACTTGTTTATACTGAAAAGCTTCATTTTTACACAAGTAAAAGTAACTATACAACATCTGCAATTAACTTGTTTTTATAAAAAAAGTGGAAATAACTGTTTTGCTAGTAATTTCCATGTACTAAAAATAAATAATAATAAGAACCAAGAACATGGGTTTATTTTTGGCATATCATGCAGTGAATACCTTTTTTTTTTATCTTTTCTACTGATACACTCCTCAGATGTCAATCATATTTTTTGAAACTCCTTTATCATTTGTCCCACTTGATATTTAACCTTACTGGTCTTAGGTTACAATGACTTTGCTATTTTCTTTTTCAAGTTATACTAAGCCTATGTTCTACACATTTATAAAAATTATAAAAAAACAAAACTATTAAGATGAAAAGTTATTCCATTTTTGGATGATTATTTTTTTTTATTTACAGCCAATAATTCTCAACACAAATAGTTCCTAAATAAAAATCAAATTACATTACAGAAGTATTAAGACTAGCATTGTTTGCCAAAACTTAATGTGTTTAAATGGCCAGTTTCTTTACTTTTTAATGTCAAATAAATTAATAAAAGTGAAGAGCTTATATTTAGATTAGTTTGTTACAAACTTAGAAATACAATGCTAGCTTAATTTCTCCAAAATACTGTTTTACTTAACCATGATAAGTGTATTAAAATTATTTCTTTTTGAACATGTATTTTGTCAAAAGATAAATTATTCTGAACTGTACATTTATATTTCTTACAAAATAAAATTTACTTAAAAACTAAACCTTTCTCAATAGCAATGTATAATATTTAATTCTTTAAATGCTTTCACAAAGAATGTGTTTTCACTTTTCTATCTTTACCCAAAAACTTTTTCAAGTCATCTTTATTAAGAATTCTCACATAATTACAGAAAATCCGTCAGTTGAATGCAAATTAATAATGTGGTTGTAAGAAATAAAGGAGTGTTATATTAATTAACATTTAACCACAGTTTATAGAAAGAATAATCTAACCTTCTCTCTGATATCAAGAGCCCGTTTACAAAGTGGTTCTGCTTCTTTATACTTCCCTCGTTTCCCATATAAAACAGCTAGATTATTGAGTGTAGCAGCAACCTAGAATAAAGAACAAGCCAACAATATTTCATCAACATTTAAATTGCACCCAACCTCCTTTACTTCAATATAATAATACTTCACATATGGGAAAAAACAGAGTTGTGTTGGCTTGAATCCCATAGGTGTGCCTGACTCATCAAGTTCCCAAACACAACTAAAGAACATTAAAAACACTGGTTCCCTTTGATATCCAGGCAACATTCATTTTACATTTAAATCACTAGAACAATTAAAATTTTTAACACCTCATGCAATATTTAATTAACTGCCATTCTAGTCATTCACAAAATTATTCTTTGTTTTTACCACATAGATATCATGTGATATTTGTTGATCCAGTGAACTCATTGAATAGCAATAAAAATCTGAATGATTAATATACATAAACATACATTAGTAGCAACAAATTAGATAAATATTTTATTTTATTTCATACACTTACTGAAAGATATGTATACATGTGTGTGTGTGTGTGAAAACAGACCACCTGCATTCATTTACATGATATGCATATTAAAAACACTGAGCATGTGCTTCCAGAAATAAAGCTTTAGTTCTCAATATAAACACTGGATTTTTATACTTACTTTGGGAAATTGTTATAAATTTTCTGGCAAAAATGAGCTTTATCAGTAAGAATACAAAATTAAAACCTTACTATAATTATTACAAGAAATGTAATAGATATAACTGATCAAATACTCCATAATATCACAACAGCAAAATTATTGTTATGACCTCCAATGGGGCCAATGTTGATAAGCCTACACTTCTCATATATTAAGTTATTCATAAAGCTTTCAACTTTCCACAAAATGAGCAACCTTTTCCTTGAACAATTGAACTATAAAAATACTTCATTTTTTAACCCCTTCCTTACCATAACGGTGTACATTATTTTTTATTCTCAGACACCATATTGGCACATTTTGATAAAGAGTTTTCACACTAAATACAATGATATTTGGCGTGTATGACCCTTCTTTGATAAAATATCTATCAAATCACACAAATATAAATTTTCTGACATTTTAGCTGGTTCCTACAAATACAAAATGCCTTGTCACAAAAAAAAGTTAAATAAACTTGAAATAAATGAGCACAATATAAAATTACTTAATGTTTAAATTTTCTTCATGCAAGTTAGGAAAACAGAACCAAGTCCATAAATCTTGATTAATACTTACAGCAGGATGGTTCTCTCCTAGTGTTTTTTCTCGAATAGCAACAGCATCATTAAGCAAATTTGCAGCTTCTTTATATTTGTTCTGGTCCCTAAAAATCAGAGCAAAAACGAGGTTCACTGAATAAAAAATTGTGTTTCTACAACATCTAGATTAAGGTTTTTCCTTCCTGTAAGTATATAGATATGCAAATGTGACAATGACATCCAAAATAAACATGAGAAGAACAACTATACGCTCAGTTGTTAAAAAATGTACATGTATGCACATAATGCCTTTAAAAAAAAAGAGGTGTTTTATGTACTGATAACTGTATGTTTATTCTACAAAATGATATTAAAATAAATACATTAATTTGTATTTTTTTTGGTGGGGGCAATTCTTCTGGGGAGTAATTATCAGGGAGGGGATATTTTCCTATAATCCAATTTGTAACAGGAAACTAGACTTGTTTATCCTACATAGCTTAAAACTTGTAGCAGTATACATCTGTTTCTATTTTAATGTTATTGTTTTATTGCCCTTTCTAACTAATAATCCTGCCACACAAGTTGTAAATCACTCAGCAAATGTGTAGTTGACATTACCGTATCAAATTATGTAATGCAAAACCTACTGGTGAGCTGCTCATGAGTGTATCTCATGAAAAGTTTTTATTATTATTGTAATTTTTCTTTATCTTACCTAATCTAACCTTATCTAACTTAATTTTCTAATTTTTAAATTTTATTACTTTCATAATAAGTAAATAATACAGATGAAATACAAGAAATATAATACTTACCTGGATCTTCATTGTCAATGAAACTTAACCCTACTTTTTATACTAATGGTAGTACAGTAGTCAACATTTGCTAGGGATCATGTTTTTACACAGTAGGTACACTAATGTTAATAAAGGTCAGTTCTTAAAAAAGATATAGCTTAGAAGTTCATTATCTGGACATTGTCTGCCAAGTGCAAACTTTCTACCTGGGTGAATTTGATTGGATTCAGGCTTTGAAAGTTGATACAGTGAAACTGTAAGGCCCTTTATTTGAGATCACTGATCACTGCACGCTAAAATTGGTCTGATTGAGATTATGCAGTGCAGAAAATGCCTCATTTAGGTTAACGGCATCATCTTTCCCCTACAAAATTTAACAGGGCTGTTAGAATGCTGCAGGGAAGCATGACTCAATGCAGGGTTGCTGCTGCTCTTGGCACATCCCAAAGTGTGGTGTCCATGGTCTGGAACAGGTTCAGATGGTTTGACAGAATCAGTAGGAGATATGGTAGAGGAAGGAGAAAACTAACAACTCCACAACAAGTCCACTACTTGACCATCCAAGCTCGAGAGAATCGCTTTGCTCCAGCTGTTAACCTCCGGAACTCCCTCTGAGATGCCACAGGAGTCTGAATGTCTACACAGACAGTGTGCAGACTCCTTCATGAAGCTCAGTTGAGTGCTAGACATCCTGCTGTTCATATTCCTTTAAGCTGAAAGCACAGGCAGGCACGACTGGAGTGGGCTAGAGAACACAGAATGTGGACTGCACAGCAATGGAGGGCTGTACTCTTCACTGACAAGTCCCACTACTGTGTGGACTTTCTTGACAGAAGCAGGAGAGTTTGGAGATGCCCTGGTGAGTGCAATTTGTCTCAGAATGTCATTGAATATGATCGCTTTGGAGGAGGCTCAGTCATGGTGTGGGGAGGCATTTCAATTTCAGACCGTACTGACCTTGTAATCATTCAAAATAGAAGTCTCACCGTCCTAAGATACAGAGATGAGATCCTTGCACCCATTGTTCATCCACATGCAGGTGCAACATGACCAGAATTCCTGCTTATGGATGACAATGCGTGTCCACAACATGCAAGGGCAGTGACTGCCTTTCTGGAAGCTGAAGGAATTCCCAGGATGGAGTGACCAACTAGGTCTCCTGACCCCAACCCAATAGAGCACATCTAAGAGCAGCTACAGACAAGGCTACAAGCTCGTCAAGCCCCACCAAGAATGCTCCAGGACCTGGAAGTTGTCCTTATTGAAGAAAGGCAACAGATTCCACAACAATGATTGGTTCATCTGATCATGAGCATGTGCAGACGTTGTACAGAAGTTATCAATGCTCAAGGTGGTCACACAGACCACTGAAATCATTTTGACTATGAACTGGACAGTTCTTTCAATGACTGTTGATTCTGCAATTTTTCTTGTTAACACTGTACCACAGGGTGCATCAGTTCCTCAGGCTCTGTTATCCAAGTTAAATCTAACAGAACTTAATAACATGTAAAAATAACTTATCCAGGTGTTTTTCTTCCTAAAGTGTTCAATCTATATATACCATTGTGGTAGGTGTTTGACATATACTCATAATAAAACATGATACCTAGCAAATGTTGACTACTGTATATGCTAAATAAGTTTTTATTTAATTAAATAATGCACCTAAGAACACATAATAATAACTTGCAAAAAGCAGACAATATCCTATAAGTATCATAATTTTATGGCTTTCTAACTATGCAAAAAGAGCCATTAAAAATGCAGCTAAGCTCGTCAATGTGTTTCCCGTGGGAATAAAGTTTGAAATGGAAGTGAAACAGACAATTCTCTGTACAGAAAACAATGTAATATATCATTTGACATATTCAAATTTTGGCTTTCTATTGGTTATAAATAATATAGTACTAAACGTCAGAGAGAGCTACTGGCAAAAGGGGTCTGATATTCTATTCTATGGCTCTCTAATCAAATAAAATTAAATGCTATAAAAATTATGCTTTGCCTGAGTAGTAATAATATTAAAATGAGTGATTTATGTTAAATACTGTACTGCTCAAAGGGGTAGTAAATAAATTAGAGAAGAGGGGATACTTAGAGAGCAAACATCACAATTCTCATACTAGGGTGAGATTGAGTATTTTTTTAATATTTCTATATAAAATTAAGAATTTAAAACTAATATAATATTAAAATTTGATTTATTAACTACATTTTTATGCCAAGTTCATTCATACTCCATGATAATAAAGTAATTTAATTAAACTTTGAATATAACTCTCTGAAAAAGTTGTGACATGCTCACTTCAACCTGCCCATAGCAAGATGGTTAATAAGAAATGTTTTTTTTAAACCTAAGTTAGAACTTAGAAAATTTAACTTGGTTATTATATGCAACTATTATATGAGAAACCTGTTTAAGAGAAGAATTTTGAATCAAGGTTCTTTACACCCAAAACATGCAGCTTAGTATTAAAAATTTAACATTTCACATGTAAATTAGAAAACTTCTTCTACAAAAATGTCTAAATAACATTAATCTTCTATAAAAAAGAACTAAAAAAAATTGTACTTTCCACAAATAAAACTAAGAAAAAATCAAATGAAAAGTCATGAAATTATTAACAACTGCTCTGAATAATTTTGTGCACACCTGTATACAAGAGCTAAAATATTCAGCATAGTTGCTACATCTGGGTGATCATGACCACTGGTTTTTTCAAGGTCCTCTAGTGCCTGCTTACAAAGAGGAACTGCAACCTCATAGCGACCCTGGGAGGCATACTGAATAACAAGATTATGCAGCGTGCGGAGTCTAGCAGGAATTTCATATCCAGCATGGGTGGATGCTGTCATCGATGCAGACATTTGGTTCGAGGGAGTCGGAGAAACAGCTGCCAAAAGTAAAATGTTCTGTAAAATCTTTTTATTAAGCTAACTATATAATTCATTCATTAGCTGTCAGCTAAGTTTTAGTTAAAACTTCAAGGTTTAATATCTATATAAAAGCATAAATACCATTTAACTAAATACGGAAGTAATTTTCATGTGATTAGAATATACTAAATTGTTTTAAAACATTTACTCATAATAACAAGTAAAATTACAAGAAACAACTACAACTATTTCAATAGCTATAGTCTTAACTGAACAACGAATAGTACTGTCAAACTTATATGTTACATAAAAGATAAAATTAAAGATATGTTATTTATTACTTTCTGCCAATAAAAAAAGCTAAGAAACTAATTTTATAGTTTTTGTTAACTGTCCCTTTATTTTAAACTAAAGTTTATGTTTACAATTTAAAGAAACAAAAACAGTGTGTGTGTGTGTGTATTATATATATATATATATATATGTGTGTGTGTGTGTATGTGTGTGTGTGTGGTTATATATATATATATATATATAAATACCATCATTATGGGAGCTATCATCATCATCATCAGGAAATCCTAAGTCCAATGGAGCATCACTCGATGGTTTCTTTTCACTGCCCGATTCACTCATTGCCTACAAC